TTTCATCAGATAAAATAATATCATAGGTATCAATGGGACAAGATCAAAATAGTACATTGTTTGTGTTGGATGGAGAATATTTCATAACATTGAATGAACAAAACATTTTTCTAATTCAAAATTCGTTTTTAATCCACATTAACTTTTGGGGTTTTAAAACGAAAACCAAATCATGATTTGAGCGTAGATGAAAAAAAGGTATGCCAATTGTTTTCATTTTTTTCATTATGTCTCTTGACTTCTGTATATTCTTGGTGATTTGACACTGATGCTATTAAGATGCATGCAAACTACATCATCGTTTTGTTACACATGTCTCGTAAATGTGTTCTTTTTGTGTGAATTTAAGATTGCTTGCTTGTGGCTTAAATCTGGCTTCAATCCGTCAATATTTAGATAGGGTTTTCAGTTCTTGAAATAGATGGCGTTTTTGTATGTGTGTCTAATTAGGGGAAATATAATATTAATTCAATGATATGGCTTTGGATTGATTGATTTTATCTTATTTGTCCCCTTGTTGATATATTTGATAGGATTGATTGGTTTAGTTAAAGTCATCTTTATTAGTTGAAGTCATCCATTTGTGATAACATGTATTCTCTGTTATTTATTCTTGACAAGGATCCAATGTTTTATTGATTATATCTTGTTTTAGTCATACACTATTAAACTATGTTTCATATTTGATTAAGATGGTTTATAGGCCTTCTAACAGGATAAACAAGTGGTGCGTACGCATAAGATTCACGCGGATTTTTTTGAAAGCTCTTAAAAAAAAATCTCAATTTGTTCTTTAATTTTTAATAAAATGGACCCTTTTTTCTGGCCTAGAACCCTGTAGAATCTTTTTTTATGAAAAATTCCTATAGAAAATTGAGACGGGTTTAAGTTAAGCATTTGGCTGATTATGTGCTAACACAATAGGTAATTTTTTTTTCACTTTGTGATTTAACGTCTTTTAGTTTTTTCCTTTTACATCTTTAGTCTGCAAGAGATACATGTTGATAAGTATTTTTTTTTTTTTTTTGAGAAATACATGTTGATAAGTTTCCAACACATGCATATCAATATTTTAACGGTGTGGTCGTATATATATAGTGTATACTATTATACAAAATATACGAAAATGTACAATAAATTTTCATATTTTTTAATGGTTTTATACTGTGAAATATTTTTATGTTTTGTACTGTCTTTACGTTGGTTTTTTAGACTTGACAACTTTTAAAAAAAATGTGTAAAACAAAAAATAATATTTTTTATCAGGAAAAAAAACTAAAAATTGACTATTACGTATTTGAATGTGATTACTTAATGATATTATTTCTCATTTTTCATAGCTTTTTTTTTTATATCCATGATAACTGTTATATTTCTAACGTTTTATTACACGTTTTGTGAT